AAACCACATTCTCAGGTTTTGAAGCCAAGATATTCTTCTTCTCCCTGGTCCTCTCTTTCCAAATGCCTTGCCCTAAAGAATGAGTTGCAACAAGCCGTATCTCTGTTCATTCCTCATAACATGGCCAAGATATTCTAGTTTGCGCTCTTTGATGGTGTTAATAATCTCGCATGCCTTGCCTATTCTACGTAGGACCTCAACATTAGTCACACGATCCACCCATGAAACATCAGGTTTAAAAGATAAAAATCATTACACCTTTTGTACTAATGATAACATTTTGTTTACTAAATAAAACGACCCACTGTTTACTGGTTACTACCACTACGTTTCTTATAGCTGTTGTTTGAATGTTAACGCTGAGATGGCTGATAATCTTAAGTTGGAAGAATATTATTTTGTTTATAAGAATGCTGAGTTCCCTAACCTAAATTATTATCTTTCTCCCGTTGGTTATGATATCTTGTATGACGGTATTAGTCAATTTGTTGCTTGCAAGAAATATAAATCATCTAATTTACCTAGTTATTTTAGTTTTGAGTTTAGAAATTTAGTAATTAACAAATTGGAAATATGTTGCTCAGGATAGAGACCGATGGAAGGAGTTGGGAGAGGCCTATGTCCAAACATGGACGACAGAAGGCTAAGAAGAAGAACAAGATTAGGTCAAACTCCAGAAACTTGAAATGTTGGTGAAACTGTGGACTTTATTAGCATTTTTTTTTTTCAAAAATAAATTCAAATTAGCGAGCAAATCCAGTTTCTAATTTGTTAACATGCTAATCTAATAATGGATTCAAAATTAACCTAAACGGAAGTATATGATAAAGACTCTTCTCTTCACACACATTCTGTGGGCATGCGATAGATATAGACGTAAAATCTCAATAAATCTCAATAAATAACACACATTTCATAAATATATCTCTTGAATAAATATAAATAACTTTTAAATAACTCAATGTTATAGAACTTCACTTTCATCTAACAAACATTCACATTACACCTATCTCTACTTCATTGGATAAAATCTATCTCCTCAAGAACTTCTCCGTTTATTGTCAAACAATTACAATAGCAGACTTAAGTTCTCCATTCAACGATACAGGATAGTTTGAACCATGTTCTTCCAACCATCAATTAATAGAGTACCGGCATGTAAGTAATGTTTTATTTATTTGTTCATTTATTAATTTATTACAATTTAATAGACTATTTTATACCAATTTGTAGGTCTTACCTTGTCTGCTTAAACATTTTATTCATTTTGAAAAACCACAGACATGTAATATTGGAATAATTACTGTAATTTATATCATCTTTGTTTATCTTTATTAGACAACACCCTAATATGGGCTTTATTATTTCACCATTTATTTAACTTTGTATGGAGACCTGAAGATACTTTGCATATTGTAGAAAGTGAAACCGGTCGTCTGGATAGTTAAATTAAATTGATTGTGAGTAAGTCTTATTTATTATTTCTTTTACCTATTTGAAATGGACTCACACAAGCAACACATTCATGATTATTAAATTTTGATTATATTTATATAATGAAAATATTTATAATAAAGGCGCTTTTCGAGATTTGTGTTCAATGCACAAAGTTGCTAGGCCAGTTAACTGATACTGCTTCATTGTAGATCTCATAGCATTTTTAGACCAGAAAGACAACTAAAGGATTTTTCCACTTTTGCGACTGTCACCAGTACTGTGCAAAATATTCTTAACGCAATAACCAATGACGTATAATAAATAGACCCCGCAGCCTTCTATATTTGATATATAATCGGGTGTCCTAAAGACCTGCTTGAAGGTATAATATTTACTATAACACTGGCGTGCTCGTTTATTTTATAATGAGTTTATTTTTCATTGACAAAAGGAAATTTATAAAAAAAAAACCTAGTTAGAAAAACTATTCTCCAGAGAGCGGGAGACACGTTTGGAGGCGAAGAGATGAAATATGAATGAAGTGTACTTTTAGCTCCTGTCTTTATAATGAAAGGAGGAGCTTTAAAAATGTGAGCCGGAATAGATGGACAAAGATACATTAATGATATCCATTAGCAGACCATGTTATCGCATATTCACAATTAAATTGGGCAGCATGCCCCCAATTCAACATGTGCGGATCTATCTAGCTAAAATTTTAAGAAGTTGCGACAGATCACCCATGACCAAAAATAAACTTCGTGCTTTGCTTAGAGAAGTGTGAAATAACATGACCTAGGAGTATAGATTAGCGAATACCTTAGAGAATTGAAGCCACAGTCTAACTAGAGGGGCTAAGAAATGTTATTTTTAAATTGATTTATTGTTTTCTTATTCAATAGTTCGCTTGTTGTGTTATCGTTTAATTGCTCCATCATTATTGTTAAAATTTAAGCACATGCAAATAAAATGTAATGTTTTATTCAATAATTCATAACTTTGAGGCGAATTAAGGTATCAAAATGAATGAAAAAACAATATAAGGGAATGAAAAAAACTTGCATATTGGATAGTTTAAGTGATAAGCTGTATTTTAAGACAGGTTGTCTTAAACATTATGACAATAACATATTTTTTCATTATATAATGTGTATAAATCTGATCTTTCATTAACCTGGGTTGATTTTTCTTCTCCTTGTCCAAAAAATTATATAAAAATTATCAGATATTAAAAAGCTATTTAAGATTAAAATTTGTTAATATTTTATAGCGATCATTTTGTACACCTGAGTGCGTAAACAAGATTATGTTTAAATCAAAACTCGTTGAACAGTCTTTTCATCCACAGTAATTTTTATTATCCAACTAAATGCTTCCATGTGCTTTAAAGATAACAAATATACAAGCCCAAAAACATGATAATACAAATAAGGCATATTTTATGTATATTTACATGAATAACATAACATTAAAATGGAGGATTCCAGAGCAGAGGTCTTTGTAGACATACTTATTCACAACTGGTGACTTAACACTCTCTAACTGGAGAGTAAGATACTTACATAATCGGGTCAGATGAACCTTTTAGAATATCTGATAATATTAAATATTTTAGAAGTCTTTTTTGGTTAATACATTGAATAGCTTGTACCTGTATATCAATATTTTAACTAATACATTATTTTAGTATCTAGTACTATTATTAGAGTTATAGATGGTCAATATGAAGTATCAAATCCTGCAGCAATAAATATTTGAGAGAAAAATTATATAACAATAACTCAGACAACAAACAAGAATATGCTAGGTAAAAAAGAGGCAACAATTTAGTGGCCCGTGACCCCAACAATGAGATCTACTATATTAAATGGGAATTTTTCTTTAGAAATTGTTATGTTTAATTCTAAAAATTGGAAACTTCCAAAGCAGATAGCAAAAACGTCAAAACAAACATATTTTCAAAACAAATTGTGGTTAGTTTCCAAATTAAATATAGTAAATAATATAGAAGTGTCACAAGAAAATTCTTTCAGATCAATATTAAGGGACCAGTATGGGCATACCTTAACTAAAAATTTTAGTATTTTGATAACAATAAGAAATGATCAAGTTCCATTAATATTTTATCTACATACTTAAATAAAATGTGGCTCCTTACTGAGTTGCAGGGTCTTTTATCTATCGTTTATCTCTTAAATAAGATATAAACACCCTGTAACTCAGTAAGGAGACACATTTGATTTAGCGTGTGTTAGATCTAAATCACAAGTGATTTAGATTAAACCTTAATATTATGAAATATGCAGAAAATGCCTATTAAAACATGATACTATGACTATAAGATAAGATATTGCACATGTTTTTGTGACATCATTGAAGAGTTGCACGTTCGAAATGTCAGTTTTTTGTATATATCAATAAATAATCTTTAATAAATAGTTTGGAGATATACTTATATGTAAGATTATTGTAATTATTAAACCTCTTAACTTATTTTCGTCTAGTAATTTCATCACAGAATGCATACAAATTCCATTTAACTTTAACAAGATTTCAAATTCTACTCTCCAATGACAGCATGCACGAACCTGACCGATTTTGAGCTACGGGAAGATCCTATCTTGTTATTCATAGTATCATGTATTAAAATGCTATAAAAATATCAATGTAGATCATATGAAGAAAGGATACTTTTAAAAATTTTCAAGATATTGTCAAGATGAGTAGATCACACAAAGAAACCAAAAAAGAGATGTTACATTTTAAAATAATGGAATATTTCCAGAATCAATCAATCAATCAATCAATCAATCAATAAGGGAAAGCACTGCATGGTCTTACTGGAAATTGATTTTTCACATTGACTTTACTTTATATTATCTTTTCTTATGGTCTTTGAAACAACAGAATTTTAAATTTTGTTTTCAAGTAGTGAAAGTGAATGATAATGAAATAGGTGTGAGTAATACTGTCCAATGGCCTTACCAAAATTCACTCATATTGTTAGTTTCCATTAATTTGTCATTCAATTCTTTTTAATACTGGCTAATAATGTATTTTAAGAAGCTATAAAAATGTAGATACTGCATGTAATAGGGAAATAAATCTCCCTCATGTAGTTAGTTATAAACAATAGGTATTCATAAATAATTTAACTGCAAATTTTATACTAGAAAAGATACACATATTAAAGTTTACTTTAGGTACAAACTAATCAAAATACCAAAATGTTTAAGGAAAATGTCAAAAATACTACAAGACTTTTTCTGATGTAAAAGATTAATTTAGTGACAAAAAAGTAATTGTATCATATAATAGTACAACTAAATAAATAAAGGTGAAATAGCGAGGAAAGTACAACATATACTAACTGTAAAAATTATGCAGTAAAATTGAAAAAACTTATATTGAAAGAAGTATATTTCCAAAGACACTATTCAGTTAATTTATGTAATTTTATTCAATTTTCACTTTTCTAAGTATTGTAGCATCTTTGTATATATTATACCATGTTTACATTGTCCTTTTAAGGTGTCAGAAAAAAATAAATGTTCAGTACATACATTGTAACAAAATGCCCTGCATTCTTCCTCTCATGATTTCTTTGGCTTTCCTTAATTCTTCTTCATACTGATTTTTCTCATTGAGTAAACGCCTAATATGGGAGTTTGTGGATTGTATCATGGAATAGAAATTGTTGGCATTTCTTTTATTACAATCTCCCCTTTCCAGCCACGTTATAACAGTCTGAAATATTATAAATATCATTTTTGTATAGCATGTAAGCATTGAATCTTTATGTATATTTATAGGTAAATATTTCTGTAACTTAATATCAATAAAAAATTTGAGAAATCAAAACCATACCTGTACAGCTTTAGCAAAAGTCTCATCTTGTTTGATTTTTTCAGCAATAGCAGTGGCCTCATGTTCAGTATAGTGTACAACTGGGGGCGGTGAAGGGGGTCTTAGTCTTTCCTCTTCCATCCTTTCCCTATGGCGTTGTTCCCTCTGCAGTTGCCTCTGCCTACATTCCCATTCATATTGGTCATCTCTAGCCTAATATTAGTAAAATGATTAAAACAAGTATAAAATAATTAAAAGTAGATAGTTATTGCATGGTTTTAGGACTTACATGAGCATAATCAACATGCAACCTTCCTGTATTGGCTGCATCAGTATTGGAACCTATTCTAACCCTGTACCCAGATAAAAATATTGCTGCATCAACTGAACCTTCATAAACAAACCTCAAATGACAGAAATTCTTTTTACTTAATCTTAAAGTAGTTATCTCTCCACATTTTTCAAAAATTTCAGTAATAATTTCTTCAGTCATATTCTCTGGTAAACCCCCTACAAAGACTGTTCTACATCCTGGAGGTCTTTCTCTAATAGATGGTAGTGGAGCATTAGGATTAGGGGGAAAAAGTGTACAAGATTTACAATGTATAATCTCTTTAACAGGATTGATCATTAAGGTGGAATCATTGGGAATAATGCTGGGATCTGGGGCTATTATAGGTGGAATCATACTGTAATTGTTCATTTGCATTATACTTGGGTCCATCAGCATGTTCATGCCTACCATTGGATAACTCATACCTAAAATACAAGTACATACCTATAAGTAAGATCAACAATACAATATATTAAAAATTTGTCTATATTATTTCAAATCTAATTATATGAAAAAGATAATTAAACAAAAGTAACAATGAAGAAACTTACCCATGAGTCCTCCCCACATATTAGGGGGTGCTATTCCTGGGGCATTGGTTCGATTTACATCTTGAGATGAAACATTTGAATCTGAATCAACAGATTTATCAGTGTCGCGTCTATCTCTACTATTTCGACTTCCAGCTCGAGATCTTTTGTCTGGCGGACTCTGACTAGATTCATCTTTGTCATCATTAAGCCTGGGCTTATTTTTTGAAAATTTTAAGGGAGTATCATTCATTGCTGCGTTGAACATTTTCCACTGTTATACAACAGCTAATAATAATACCAGGTGAGATGAGTAAATGGATTATAATCCGAATCTGCAACACTTACATTTGATTCATGTTAAGACTAAGATGATTATATATAAATAATTGATTGTTGATAATTCACCTCCAATCAAATTTTTGTCAAACCAGCTGAAAATTGTCAATATTCTAGGGAAATTTAGGACTAGGAACTAGGACTTAATCGTTACTAGAATATTTCACAGAACAGAAAACAACAAATTCTTTTCTATTCTGTGACTACTAAAGTGCCATTTAGCCAAACAAAAGCACAGAATACTGTGCCAAAAGCACAGAACTACTATTATATTATTTATCTATGGCACAGAATTCGCGATTAAAAACAAAGTATCTGACCTCTGGCGGGATAAATTTAAACTACTATAAATGGTATAAACAAACCAGACAGCTGTTGATTTGAATAGAACTATTAAATTTTTTTGGTCAATTTCAGCATTATGACTACATTAAAGTATTTTAAATCAAATTGATATTGTTTTGGTCCTCAATGCAATTCAAGATCGACAAAAGATATGTCCCTATTTCTCTTTCCTAAACTTGAAGAAAAAATGATCTGATGCTTTAAAGATTCAAAAAAAGTAACACATGTACGTTTGCAGTCTACATTTTCTTATCAGTGACTTAATTTTGTCAGGTTAGTAATTAAATAATAACGATAATATCCCAAAATACATGTTTATGAATTAAACAAATATTTTGATTCTAATGTCAGACATCTTGCAAATATTGCAGTAACAACAAAGAGAACAAGGCTGAAGAAAAATGCTGTGCCATCCCAAAATTTACTTCAAAGTTCTGCAATTACAAAAATCAATAACCCTGTTATGACACAAATTGGGATGGACAGAATCCAAAGAAGAAATATACAGAGGTATGTATTTACATCACAATATTTTAAACTGTATTTAACATTGTTGTAGGAAGAAATGTTGGAAAATTGTAGTAGAAATCATCCAAGTACATCAGCAATGTATTCCAGTATATATTTTTGTCCAGATTTATCTGAAATCAAACCATTTGGTTGTCTGATGAATGATTCTATTGGTCACTATATTTTGTAAATAAAAGATTTATTTTGTTTTAATAATCCATTATTAATAAAAAAACTACCTTGTGAATGCCTTCATTTTTATTCAGGTAAAACATAAAGATCATTAAATGTTGGAATAAAAGAACATCAAATGTATAATATTAAAAAAAGCCAGTTCCAAACATTAAAGTTAAATTAATTACTATTTATAACTGGGAATAAGCCACATTAAAGATAAAAATACATTTATTGACGTTTCAATTTCCAATTCGGAAATCGTTCTCAAAATACAAATAGTAAAATTTTTATAATTAATATTTTACTATTTGTATTTTGAGAACGATTTCCGAATTGGAAATTGAAACGTCAATAAATGTATTTTTATCTTTAATGTGGCTTATTCCCAGTTATAAATAGTAATTAATTTACAATGCCACAAGAAAATAGCTTCAGAACAATATTAAAGTTAAAATTTAAGAATTCATCACTTGAAAACTGCTTCCCCTTGAACCAATGGGCTCTGCTTCACCACAATACGCCAAGATATCATTAAGACTAATTTCCTTTTTTCAATGATAAAAATAACTCGTCTTAAACCAAACTAAACTTAGAAAAGCAATGGTAAACATTCGACTGTCATGTTTGTTTATACCATTTATATCCGCCATGACACTGCAATCGACCTGCCCTCTACATTCAGTTTTAATCGCGGATAATAACCAATACATATCTCTATAATGTATCATGATATAAGGAAACATGGTATGCTCACGCGCATCTATTTTGAACAGCCAATCGCGTTTACGACCAAAATCCGCCATTTTGAAGGCGGCAATTCAAATATGTACAAAATTGATACGAAATATCGTAGTTAAATTAAATAAAAAAAAATTAATATTATACATTAATCCAATTAATTCATGTTTAAAATCATCTGAACAGACTCTTGCTAAAATAATTTTTAAAAAATCGAAACAAAACAAAAACACATTTACTTTTAAATTCCAATACATTGCAAAGTAAGGTTAAAAAATGCAAAAGTAAACAAAGCAGACGTCACGCATGTAGAGGTGGTTGATCCAAGTATTTTTGTGGATCATGTCAGGTATGCTCACTTACACTTACTATGAGTACAGTACCCGTACCATGGACGTATAAATAAAGATCTTTATTTATACGTCCATGACCCGTACTCGTTTATTATAATATATTGGTGTTAGGGATCAGTTCCACAAGTATAAATAAAATACATGTTCCAAAGTAACTGGTACGGGATCAAGTCACCATCCCTACACGCATGTGACATATTGAAAAGATGGTGGATTTTGGTCGGCGCAGAAATGTGCAAAAACAGGTCCACCTAGTGAGCATACCTTGTTTCCTTATATCATGTAATGTATACATGTTCTATTTCGTCAATTTCTTCACGAAGTTATTCATGAATTTATTCACGGCAAAATTGGATGTCAAATTGTGCTTTACACAGGTCAAATTTGACCTTGAAGCGACTTCACGAATTTCTTCATGAATTTATTGTTGGTGTAAAGCCCGTATAACCAATAATTGTTATTTATTGATAAATAATTTTATATTCATTCTGTGCCAAAAGTCCATAGTATTTGTGGTGCGTTTTCCAAATTTATTATTCCAAAAAATATTACATGAATCTCTAAAAAATTGATGTTTATAATTCTGTGCTCAAATCACAGAATAATAAACAAACAGAATGCCCACTCTCCACGGAAAATTAAGTACGCGCATCTCCTTCGCGCAGAGGTTCCGCCATGTTTTACGAGGATTTTAAAGGGAACCAGTGTTGTTTATGTGGTGTGCATGGAAAAAAACAGGTTTATTTGACTTTCGGCAATCGTAGACATACTATACAATTATATTAACAGTTTTAAATATAATAACATAAATATAATATAATTAAACATAAATGTAAACAATTGCATAACCTCACAAATCATATGTTTGTGTCCTCCTAAAACATGGCGCGCGTGCTGAAAAACTTCAAAGGCGGCATCTGAGAGTGGCCCTTCTGATTGTTTATTATTCAAACTGGTGCTCAAATCATAGTTCATAAAAAAAACTCTGGGGCCTGGGCATCGCTGGGCTACAACCATCGAGCAAAAAGATAAAAGAGGGAATCTAATCGTTATGAAAAGGAGACCAAAAAAGTGGCCTCTGATGGCGGAAATATCCGGAAATGCAAAGGCGCTAAATTTAAATTTTCCAACACTTATTAACAATAGCTATAAAATATTTTTCAGACGAGAAAGTTTTAATTAAATATTAACTATAATAGTCTAAAAAGTGACACAATTGGTAAAAAACTTCAATATAAATAAAATTTCATGTGACAGTTGGGACAAACAATAACATAACCAAACTAAATTTGACTTCTCAAACAAGGAAAGAGACTGTCTTTCCTTGTTTAAAGTGGCCTCTCAAGATAGCACTTCCTGTCTAACAATATTTTTGTCCCCACTACCTTTACATTCTCTCTTTTATCTTTTTGCTCGATGGCTACAACCCTGGGCACAGAATAATAAACAATCAGAATGCCCACTCTCAGCACGCCCTGTTTTAAAAGGAAACATAGACACGAATTGACAAAATTGTGACAAGCTATGACAGAACTGGATTTTAATTTTTAGAAATTGATAATTTAGTACATTTGAAATAATTTCTATTCTTCAACTAAAAGTACGATTAAAATAGTGCATATTATGTCTGTAGTTGCCGTAAATAAATTAAACCGGGTTAATTTGTCTATGCACACCAGATAAAGTTTCACTGAACAGCACTGGTTCCTTTTAAAACATGGCGGAACGAGATGCGCGTAAAAATTAATTTTCCATGGAGAGTATACAGGAGCCACAGAATAATAAACAATTGTTTATTATTCTGTGACAGGAGTATAGTCTATTCGCTTAGCTAGGGCATATTTTGACAGACTCATTGCCGGAAACCTACAACACAACAATTCCTACTTCTTAGTATTAATAGACTTCTTTCTTTGAACAAAGAAGAATTATTCTAAAAAGTGGAAGTGTATACTAAACCCATCAAATTTTCCCTGCATATTTATAATATAATATTTGAATTGTTACAATTTAAAATATTGTAGTAAATATTTGTATTATTCGCGTTGTTTATTTAATTTAATATAGTTTCATTGTTTTATTATCTTTGTTTAATTCTTTTGTTAGTTATATTCAGTTAATTAGTTAGTTATATTTTAAATTTTATTATTATGGATAGTCAAAGTTTTCCATTTGTTCCCTCAGCTAATGCGTTGGTAAGTTTTTCTTAATAAATATGATAAAATGTTTTTTAAAAGTTAATATTTTTAGATTAGTTGTTTCTAATTTAATATAAACTTGTTTATACCTACATGGAGGTTTTTGTTGTTTGTTTGGGTTTATATGACTGCAGACTGCGGCCAGGACACTGAATTCATTCACCATATGTGGAAGATTTTAACATCCTCAAATGCTTATGAGCAAAAATTACTATTGAACCACGAATTTGCCTAGTCAAATTACTAATATTTGTTTTTAGCATATGGAAGTACACTTATTTTGTAAGATAATAAAACAACAGTTTATGTTAATGCTATCCAATGAACTGTTAATCTTTAATCATTGATTCCATCCTAGCCACAACATAAGGAACTTGCTGTGTCTTATTTAACCTCATTTTGACTTTTTAATTTTGTAGAGTTTATTCCCACTTTTTTTATTTTGTACAATAAATAATTTTATTATTTGTTATCAATACATTATACGGTGTAAATAAATAAATATTGATTGTCGGCAAAGTTCTATTTTATTTACTTTTGTTTACATTAATATTGACTAAGAGCACGTATGCTTGGTTGTATAGTAATTTCCAGCCACTTCGAGTCTGTCAAAAAGTAACTAACTTCGCAAAAAAATAATTACTAAAATCACTAGACAGTTCGGACTGGGAATAGCGAACCGGGTATATACCATCGAGCAATAAGACAAAAGAGGGAATCTAATCCTTATGAAAAGGAGACAAAAAAGTGGCCTCTGATGGCGGACATATCCGGAAATGCGAATGCGCCAAATTTAAATTTTCCGACACTTATCAACAGTAGCTATATAATATTTCGCAGAATGTGTCTTAGACGAGAAAGTTTGAATTAATTATTAATGATAAGAGTCTAAAATGCGACACAATTGTTAAAAAACTTCAATATAAATAAGATGTCATGTGACATTTGGGACAAACAATAACATAACCCAACTAAATTTGATGCATGGAGCAATAAGACAAAAGAGGGAATGTAAAGGTAGTGGGGGTAAACATATTGATAGACAGGAAGTGCCATCTTGAGAGGCCACTTTAGACAAGGATAGACAGTTTCTTTCCTTGTTTAAGAAGTCAAATTTAGTTAGGTTATGTTATTGTTTGTTCCAACTGTCACATGAAATTTTATTTATATTGAAATCTTTTACCTATTGTGTCACTTTTTAGACTATTATAGTTAATATTTAATTAAAACTTTCTCGTCTGAAAAATATTTTATAGCTATTGTTAATAAGTGTTGGAAAATTTAAATTTAGAGCCTTTGCATTTCCGGATATGTCTGCCATCAGAGGCCACTTTTTTGGTCTCCTTTTCATAACGATTAGATTCCCTCTTTTATCTTTTTGCTCCATGATTTGATGTCAAACAAGGAGAGAGACTCTCTTTCCTTGTTTAATGTGGCCTCTAAAGATCGCACTTCCTGTCTAACAATATGTTTGCCCCCACTACCTTTACATTCCCTCTATTGTCTTTTTGCTCGATGGTATATACCATAGAGAAATAACAATAAGTTATTGTTATTTCTCTATGGTATATACACTCTGACTAAAACTAAGTTGGTATTGGCAGAGAACCCAGAGAACTACGAATCGTATTGGTAGATTACGCGGTAAATCAAAGAACACATTTTTACATTCACATAGAGCATAGAACATAGAGCTGTTTAGTGTTTATCACAGATCACCTAGTTTATTATTGTGACTGTGAAGTTTGGTTCAGGCTGTGTGTAGGTTAAATCACGTTAAATTTGGCTAATTTTGGTTTATTTTGTTATAGGAATAGAAATGACTTTAAGAACTTGGGTATTAATATATCTAACACAATTATAAGTCAAAATCTAAGAAATTTACCTTTATTTATCGCGATATAAATAAGCGAATATAGAATTATTCTTTGATATAATGGTGTTTGTTGTTTTGTAAATTTTGGTGTTTTCTTTATATGAACTGACGCTTTTGGAGATTTTGCCGAAAAATGGAGTTATCAGATGACTGTGATGTAGATATAACTACGTTCATAAATCCCCATTTATTCTGGGTGGTAGTTAAAAACAAAGTAAGGAAAAAGATGTTAGCCAATTTGGATATTCAAATTCAACTGTCCCTCACAGAAATTAAAAATTGTTCTGGTTTGGATATCGGACAGGTAATTATTTAACATAATTAACTTTACTGTATTTTACTTTATTAGCTACTCAATATATATTGGCAATTATTCCTTCATTGTAGATGGTGGTTGCTGTGATAGATGGTTTTTCCTATAGAGCTGTTATTGAACACATAGATGAAAATGATAAGCCTTCATATCTTGTATGGCTTATTGACTATGGAACAATGAAGGAAATTGAAAAAGTTTATGAGATACCTGCATCTTTAAGCAAATTGCAGCACTTGTCTTTTCAGGCTAGTTTAAACAATGCAGTGTGCATGGAAGAGGTAAAGTCATTTATATGTATTTTTAGGAGTTTGCAATTTAGTAGTTGCTAAGTGTGAAGATAAAATATCCAATTCTTTTTAGGTTCAGTTAAATAATTGCTGTTTTAGATGTTATTTTTATAATAATAATAATAATATAGGTATTCATTCATCATATTAGAACATTTTGCATGAATAATATTATAACTAATATTCAATTTTGCAGTTTCTGGATTATAATGCAGTAGGTGAGGTTTACAATGTTAAGAAACCAGTAAAGAATCCGACAACACTTGTCATCAAAGAAGCTCTTAAAATTCTATCTGAAGGTCATAATTTTAAATTTAAACTGGAAGATAAGCAAAATGGTGTAGCCTTAGGAGATATTATTGTTAAAGATAAACTTAACAAAGAGGCATCACTTAGAGACAGTTTGGTAAAGGCAGGTGTTTTAGATGTTGACCATAATATGTTTAAGGGTAAGAATTGTTGACAAACTAGATAAAAACGTGCTTAACTTTTTAGTATTAAGTAATTTTATTTATCACTTGAATTTCAAGTTTAAATTTAATTAAATATGGTTTCTTTATTTTTAAATATTAATAATTTTTACCAGTTTTAGGTATAATGGATTTTATAAATGACTACAAGACAAGCTGGCTAACTCTCATTGCTAAAACATGTAAAGAGAATCCATATCCCAAGAATTTAGTTGCAAAAGTTTTGGAAGAATTTCAATCCCCAAAAAAACTGGAAATAGCTTCACAGGTAGGATTGAATTATATATACAGATATGGAAAAAATTATAGTTAACATTACAAAATTAGCGAGATAAGTAACAGAGATACTAACATTATATTTCCACTTAATAGACAGAGATCAAAATCATAAGTATATCCCACTAGTCTCCCCTCCACATTATGCATCAATGCCCAAAATGAAGTGTTATCCTGAGAGATAAAGCTGATTGTTTTTTATTGAATTTAACATTATTTAAAATTAGATCTCCCATTTATTTGAGAAGCAGCTAAGGTAAATGACCAGTCATTGCCACCACCATACCAACTTTTATTAACAAAAGAGATGTCTTTTTTTATCACAAATACAAATATCCTTTTCATCACTAAAAAATTTCATAGACATTATTTGTACATCATTATTGTCCATAAGGCCTTGAATAATACAAACATATCTATGAATTTCACAAGTACATAGTTTCCCACACTAAGTTCTCCGTGAGTTAGTGAGCAAAACTGTTTGTTAGGATGTTTATAAAAGTCTATGTCATCACAGCTGCTACCACTCTAGACCCACCCTTCATCCTCTGTTGGAATTCTTTCATGTGCCAACACAATCATTGGAGGGGTGATTTTTCCAGCAGCATTAACTGTTACCAATACTGATATATTTTCCTTGTCATCTCCAGCAGAGTGATAAATATTTTTATCACCTTTCTTAGCCAAAACCTTTCCCTCTTTAGGTGATAAATAAAATGCACTCTCATCAGCATTGAAAACACAATTGGGTTTTTTTATTATATCAAACAAATCTGTACATTAAATATTTCTCAACTTTACTGAACCACAGTCTCAAATTGTATTCACTTATATTTTCTCAACTGGAAATTAAATTCTGTAACCCTCTTTGGGATATTTCTGGATATCTTCTCAAAAACATGTGAAACCATTTGTCACTTGGATGGCTATGATTAAATAATTTCCCCCTTGTAGAGTTCAGGGAAATGTCCCAGGGCTTTCCTAAAGGACCCATAGAACAAACTAATGGTGGTTTTCCATCTCTCCTGTACTATGTAAACAAAGTACTATGAGGAACACCATGATTTTTTGCTGCAGTAGCTGCTGGGATTCCCTTTTTCACATCCTCTAGATCTTTAGCCAATTGCTGTTTCGAATAATTCCTTTTAGGTGCCATTTCTGGAATGAACAAAACACTTGTAATACCAAATATTAATGTAACCTATGATTGCCACTTTAGAACCAGTGCCATCACTGGCAATAACTGGTAAAAGTTTTTACAATAAAAAAAGTAGTGTCAACACTGTAATTTTAAATAGTAAATTTACACATTGTAATGAATTTAAAATAACACAAACCAATAATGGCCACAATGACTGGTATTCATAAAGTATTTTGCAACCAGTCATTGCCAGGTTCATTTCTTTAGAAATGTGGGCCCTTAACTGAATTTAAATAGCAAACACATGTATTTTAGAGTGTTTAAGAGAACATCATGTGTAAATAAGTTTATAAAACAATAATTTACAAAAGTAAATTAGAAAATTGAGTGAAAATAGAATGATTTTTAATAGTTACATGTCCTTAGTGTTACTGAATTTTTTTTTAGAGTAATGAACCTCTGAGAGTACAATACAGCAACAAACATAATGTGACTGATCCAAATGAGAAAAGCGATGCTGTAAACAAATTGCAAGAGTCTTCTGATGCCTTAGATTATCAGAATGTTTCAAATGAAAGTACTGATAACCCTGATTGTAAAGAAAATTCATCATCTTTTTTGCCTAAAAATAATATTAGAGGTAAATTTTCCCAATATATTTATGTAGTATGTTTAGTAGATATTGAATAATCATGTATTAAACAATATATTCAGAGCTTATAGGCTGTGATCTGGATTTTATGTTGCTTTTTGATGTATCACCTACAACTGTGACACCCATTATTAAAGACGATGAGACAATCTCCTGCTGCTTCTATCGATCATTCATCTGTTACCAAATCATCATATCACTCATAACGACAGATTGCATCATCTACTTTGATAGAATTGTGGCTTATTCCCAACACAAATAGTAAATTGTGTTAAGATGCCACAACAAAATGGCTTCAGACTTTGATAATGTCTGCTGCAGTTGTAGAAGAAACATCAGGAAGAAACTGGCCATCAAAGTCTTCATGTCTTGACATAAATTTCTTATTTTAGCAAAAAATGAAACATCTACAAAAAAATTGCGTGGGGATATTCTAATTTTACCCGCTGGTTGCGAAAGAAGTCTAGGTATATGTTTATTATTATGTGTATGTATAGAGGGTGTTTCACGTAAACAGCACATGTTGACAGCTTGCTGTCACCTCCGGTAATACAGAAAATCGCTATTGACTTTATTTTTAAATGGTAATAAATTTTGTTAAATTTCAAACAACAGTAACTCACTAATGTTAACATTGTCACTAATGTTAACTAGTGTCAAACTTAAAAACAAAGATTGACATGACAAAATATGTATTAGCAAACATAAGTAGTAGTTATTCTGAATTCACAGTTTAAAGTTCATTGATAATGGAAATTCAAAAATTAGCCAAGGGAATATCTTCGACATCGGTTCAAAGCAAATGATTTTAAATGTAATTAATTATCATCTATATTTAAAGAGTAGTGAAAGTGTTAGTTTGTTAAGATGCATTTGTTAAGAAGTTGTCAACAGGCCTAAAACAGCAGACATAACGAGGCCCCCGATTTGTGATAGTGCATGCAGATAGTGAATAGGGCTTTGTGGAATCTGCTGTTTTAGGTTTAGGTTTTTAGCTAAAAAAAAACTCAGAGGACTATCATGATGAGATGGATGGTCCTATATTTGAACAATGGTTTAAGGAAAAGCTACTTCCTAATCTTCCTGAGAAAACTTTTGTGGTAATTGATAACTCCTCGTACCATTTGAGGAGAGAAGAAGTAATTCCGACACAGGGGCGGACTAAGGCCTAGGCAACCAGGGTCCATAATTTCTGTGGCCCGAAAATTGGGTTTTTACTTTTTAATTTTTATAATCAATTTTCGTTTTTATTTAACAGAAAAACGCAATACTCATAATTATTACTGAAACGTGTTTAAATTATACCGAATCGTTGATTCAGACCACATTAACTCCATCACTAACTGTCGGGCACAGCATTATGACAATGCGTTAAATATAAAGGACTCCTTGTACCTTGTTTGTAATATACCATGTTGTGTTTTATAAATGTAATCTCATTTTAAAAACAATAAACATCCTCTCTCTCTCTCTCTCTCTCTCTCTCTCTCTCTCTCTCTCTCTCTCTCTCTCTCTCTCTCTCTCTCTCTCTCTCTCTCTCTCTCTCTCTCTCTCTCTCTCTCTCTCTCTCTCTCTCTCTCTCTCTCTCTCTCTCTCTCTCTCTCTCTCTCTCTCTCTCTCTCTCTCTCTCTCTCTCTCTCTCTCTCTCTCTCTCTCTCTCTCTCTCTCTCTCTCTCTCTCTCTCTCTCTCTCTCTCTCTCTCTCTCTCTCTCTCTCTCTCTCTCTCTCTCTCTCTCTCTCTCTCTCTCTCTCTCTCTCTCTCTCTCTCTCTCTCTCTCTCTCTCTCTCTCTCTCTCTCTCTCTCTCTCTCTCTCTCTCTCTCTCTCTCTCTCTCTCTCTCTCTCTCTCTCTCTCTCTCTCTCTCTCTCTCTCTCTCTCTCTCTCTCTCTCTCTCTCTCTCTCTCTCTCTCTCTCTCTCTCTCTCTCTCTCTCTCTCTCTCTCTCTCTCTCTCTCTCTCTCTCTCTCTCTCTCTCTCTCTCTCTCTCTCTCTCTCTCTCTCTCTCTCTCTCTCTCTCTCTCTCTCTCTCTCTCTCTCTCTCTCTCTCTCTCTCTCTCTCTCTCTCTCTCTCTCTCTCTCTCTCTCTCTCTCTCTCTCTCTCTCTCTCTCTCTCTCTCTCTCTCTCTCTCTCTCTTCCTCCTCCCCATTCCAGAATAAATCCAAATATATCATCATATTCCAAAATTGGAAAAATGAAAATTTGAACTTTTTCCAATATCGCACAGGAATTATATATATATTTTGTTTTCAAGTTCTACACATAGAGTAGCAATCTGATTCTCGAAGCTTGAACATGTACCGTCATTCAAAGCGCTAGAGAACTTCCTTATCGTAAAACTACCTAATTAACTAGGAATTATCTTATCGCATCAAAAAATTGTTAAAGTGAAAAATAACAAAAAATAAGTGATTAGTGAAACAAACAAAAGAAATATGTTGCCTTCGGGGAACATATTAGGATTTGATAATAATGGCCAACCAATTTATCAACAAATGAATACTATACAGGATGTCCCAACAATAAATAACCAGAAACAGTCAATCCAAACAGCAGTAAAAACCATTTTTGTATTTTAATCAAACACCATCTAACCAGATAACAAATCAAATATCATGCCTAAACCAAATACCTATTCCAACCCAAATAGCTATACCAAACCAAGTACAATTTCCTAGTCAATCAACTGCACAAAATATTCAAAACACTCAAAATCCTATTCAGTCCCAATACACAACAGTATCCACAAACCCTCAATGTTCACTCTCATCATCACAAAACACCAATAACTACACGGATAGCGATAGCGACACAGTACTTAACGAAACAGAAAACGAAAATAAAAATCCTTGGCAAGAAGTTGGCAATAAGAAAAAAAGGGTGAAAAGACAAACAACTTCATAAATTCCCAACCAAATACACAAAACACAAAATAGATTTGATTCCCTCTCAAGAGAAAATATAGATGAACAGACAATTTATCAAATACACAAAACACAAATATAACCAAAAAAAGATCCCTCACCGCTACCAATCTATGTTTATGGAGTTACTGACTATAGTGCTATGATAGCAAACCTTTCAACTGCAACTGCGGCAGAAACCTATCACACCAAAACCATTTCAAATAATACAGTAAAAATTAACCCTACAAACTCAGACACCTATAGGACACTCATACAGCACCTTAGAAAAGAAAACATTTTACATCACACTTACTAACCAAAACAAGAGAGGGCCTATAGAGTTGTCATAAGAGCATTACTCCATTCAATACTCACAGGAGATATCTCGCATGTATTAAATAATAAGGGTTTTAAAGTTCGCAATATAATTAATGTTAGACATAGAGTTACCAAAGAACCATTGCCCTTATTCTTTGTCGATATAGAGCCAAATAAAAACAACAAAAACATATTTAACCTGCAAGTCCTACGAAACTGCATAATAACAGTAGAACCACCTAGAATAAAAAATACAATAGTACAATGCACAAGGTGTCAAAAATACGGGCACTCAAAAAGTTACTGCCTGAGGTCATTCGCCTGTGTTAAATGCGGTGGATCACATGACACAAAAACCTGCAAAAAAGCACGCGACATACCAGCAACATGTGCCTTATGTAATGGCAATCATCCAGCAAACTATAAAGGATGTGCTATATATAAAGACCTAGTAAATTCGAAAAACAAACATAACAAGCAAGCATATAGAATTGCAAGTCTAAATAATAATAACACTAATGCTCACCACATACGCCGATCACATGTAACATATGCTCAAGTTGCTGAACTGATGGTTTTGCAGAATTAAAAGTGAGAAAAAAGGAAATATAACAAATCAATCAGGTTATATTTATTTAAGTACTATTGTTAAATAAACTATGTTTATTTAATTTTTGTACATGTATATTATTTTTTTTTTGGTGATCCGATAATTAAATGGAACTACATACTATATGCTTTGAAACTGAACTACCAAAAGCAAAGTATGTGTCATAATTGAAAAATAGGCCCGGCATTACAATGTTGCCTAGGGCCTGCTTTAGTCTTGGTTCACCACTGTTCGACATAAGCGTTTAATTTAAGACATGGTTTCTGGAGAAAGATGTCTTTTTTTGAAGATGATTATTTAAAATCTAGAACGAATGGAAGTAAACATTGTGTGTAAAGAGAAAAATGTTGCCATTCTGACACTACCCCCCATACCATTGTAAGTTGAATCCAATTGAAAAGATATGGAGTCAAGTCAAAAGACGTATTACCTCACATAACAGAGTTTAATACCGCCGCAATGAGACAATTAATAAGAAAAAAAATCATTTGGTGTATTAACAGTGGACAACTGGAAAAACTGTTGTAAACTTGCTATTAAAGAAGAGCAAAAATTTTGAGTTATTGACGTGTTGATAGACGATGTTGATCCTGTGGTAATAAATGTGACAGTGAGAGCGATGACGGTAATACCGATAACAGTAATAGCGATGGTAGAGAAGATGAGGATAATGTTAATATGCAGTGAGTAAATTATGTGATAGCGTGAAAATCGGCGGACAGAAAGTGCCAAATCCGAAAAATATGTAAGTGATTGTCCGGTGAAGTGAAAATTAGGTAATACTGCGAAACATTTTAAATAATATAACAGCTTTTTAAGGTTAATGCATGTTATATACAAGGAAACTTGTTATTATTTACATGCAAATGAAATAAAAGTTGCACTTGTTGCATCTTTTAGTATAATCTTTTTTAAAGCATTAATAAACATGTTAAACAATAGTAAAATTGAATTATTTTTATCAGGCCTATAATAATTACTGATCTGCATATGCCAAACTTTCCGTTCTTACCGTGAAATAAAGTATAGCAATGTTTATTGCTGGATAATGTTGATTCAACTTTTAAATAGACTTATTTCTAAAATGGGTCGTAAAATGGAAAAAGCAACTATATGGAATATAATTATCATGTTGAGAAAAAATAAATAGTACTGGTTTTGAACATTGTTGACTTTGAGATATTAGAGGTGAAATAGGCCAGTAAAT